ATACCAACGTTATGATTATTTGATTTGTGATCTTGTCTGTCAGTAGATCTCATTCTGTGATCATTTTTCGTACCATTATATTTTCAGTCCCAAACTCAGGAGCACAAAAAAGTCAATGGAAAAATAACGAAGCGGAACAAAGCCATTCTTTGACCTTCTGAGAAATTTTTTGGGCATCTTAGGAGAAACCCTAACAGATTTAATGAAGACAGTCTATTCATTTATGATCATTACAGCATAATTTGTCTATTTTATGATCACACACACAATAGTCTTTAAAATGACGCATCCATGTCGAATTAAACCGTATGAATTAAATTTAAAAAAGTCAATTTCAGCAGTCAATCTCAAAGACAGTGTGATTCAACCAGGTTTGCCACGCCATGTTCAATTCAATCTTTTATCATATATTACAAAATTATCATCAACAGATCGCCGTCGAAAATTCTTCCGAGGCGTTGCAATTTAATGCAAACAGGAAGACTATCATCCTCGTACACAAGATAAAACGAACGATCAAATGAATAAATACAAAAATTCAGCTTCAGATGAAAACAGTTACTGGCAAAGGAGAGAGAATGTGTAGCACTGCGTTGGATGCATAATCGTTTATGTATAGAACGGGCCAAACGTTGCAGAAACATAAGACAGGAATCGAGAAACGAAAACCTAACCAACAAGTGCTGAAACAAACAAACGATAAACGAAACAGAAATGAACATAAAATCGCCACTACAAAAATGGCCCAGAAAACGACATCGTTTACACATAAAATGACAATCAATTATAAATATGTGTACATGAATACTAGAAAGCACGTATGAAAACAACACAGATACAAAAACCCACGGAATTTCATTCTTCCGGGATTCACTAGAGCAACATTTATCGCTTAAGCTTCATTATCACCAAAAATAACTGCCACAGTCAACAGAGAAATCAGAATCACATACCTCAGTGTTGATTAATTAATTAAAAACACGCTACCAAACATTTTTCCTAATTGGCAGAACGAGATAAAAATTTTCGATAAACCGCAAATAAAGCCTTCGTATTAAAGAGTATACCATGTGGAGATCGCAAACACTGACCGTTGACCACCGCCGCGTTCGTGACATGCTCCAATGATTCCAATGAGACCGCAGTCGTAGCCACAGCCAAGAGTCTCCAGAGGTTCGGACAGACCAGCTGTCGTGGTGACGGGGGTGTTTACTACAATGCCGCCGTCGCTCCTCACTGAAAGAAAAGGAGGCATCGAGGTGATGGTGGTGGCTAACTTGCGCTTGTTCACTGTTTCGTGGTCAGCTATAAAATGGTCACAAATCGTCCGTCAGACATGGCGCATTATGCGAGAGGACGCGGTCTTTGGTGTGAAGTAGTTAGGCACAGCATGAGCAGTCTGTTCAACTCTGCAGCAGCGACAGGATTTCGTCGATCTCGGACGAAGACGACGAGGTGGTAGTGGGAGCTGTGGCCGACGCCGTCGTCGACGACGAAGTGCCTTTGCTAGAGACGGAGGAGGCCGCCGAAACCATGTCCTGCTTATCGGCCTTAGGTGTGCTGCAATTTCCCTTTTCGTCATTTGTGCTCTCGTTCTCCCGCGAACTAGGAGGCGCAGTCGTAGGATTCGAAGAGCCGTTGTTTCCGGTTTCATTGCGGTGCGCACTCTTCGCCTCGTCACTCACAGACGTTACTGGCGCTGAACCACGGTTTCCAGTGGCGTTCGCGTTCTCAGACGATATACCAAAATCACCGAAACTGGAATTTTCAAAATACTGAATAAATTCTCCTGGGTCAGGCATCGTTGAATCAACAAAGAAGTTCTAGAAATAAATAAAAATCAAATCATAATCACAAAATATCGATCAATGTATACAAGCATTAAAAGAAATTAGTATTATTCAGGAACAATACACCTGACATCCATTTATTGTAAGTGAAAACATTTTGTTTTGTTCAACTGTGCTGAGAACAGAGGTGTTTTTCTACATTCACTATTCCATCCATT